CCTTCCTTCTCATTAGGTGGCCAAAGTATTTGAGTTTCATCTTTAGTGTCTGGCCTTCTAAAGAGCAGTCAGGGTTGATCTCCTCTAGGACTGACCGGTTTGATTGCCTTGCTGTCCAAGGGACTCACAGGAGTCTCCGTCAGCACCACAATTCAAAGGCGTCAATCCTTCGGCACTCAGCCTTCCTTATGGTCCAACTTTCACAGCCATACATTGCAACTGGGAAAACCATAGCCTTGACTATATGCACTTTTGTTGGCAGGGTGATGTCTCTGCTTTTTAGTATGCTATCTAGATTTGCCATAGCTTTCCTCCCAAGGAGGAAGTGTCTTTTAATTTCTTGGCTGCAGTCCTCATCTGTGGTGATCTTGGAGCCCAGGAAAATAAAATCTGTCACTACCGCCATTTATTTATTATTTATTTATTTATTTAGAAAATTTCTAGGCTGCCCCATTCGCTGAAGCCTCGGGGCGGCTTACAAATAAATAAATTAAAATACATAAATAACAATATAAAATACATGTAACTGTATAAAATAAGTCACCCTGGCCAAAAAACTTTAAAATAAAAATAACATTAACAATTAAAATGACGCTGGAATAAAAATAAATTTCTTCCCTATCTATTTGCCAGGAAGTGATAAGACCAGATGCCATGATCTTAGTTTTCTTAATGTTGAGTTTCAAGCCAACTTTTGCACTCTCCTCCTTCACCCACATTAAGAGGCTCTTTAGTTCTGCCATGAGAGTGGTATCATCTGCATATCTGAGGTTGTTGATATTTCTCCCAGCAATCTTAATTCCAATTGGTGATTCATCTAGGCCCCGCCTTTCTCATGATGTGCTCTGCATATAAGTTAAATAGGCAGGGCGACAGTATACAGCCTTGCTGAACTCCTTTCTCAATTTTGAACCAATCTGTGGTTCCGTGCCTAGTTCTCACTGTTGCTTCTTGAACCACATATAGGTTTCTCAAGATACATATAAGATAGTCAGGTACTCCCATCTCTTTAAGAACTTGCCACAATTTGTTGTATCTACACAATCAAAGGCTTTAGCATAGTCAATGAAGTAGAAGTAGATGTTTTTCTGGAACTCCCTAGCTTTCCCCATGATCCAGCGTATGTTGGCAATTTTATCTCTAGTTCCTTCCCTCTTCGAAATCCTGCCTGTACTTCTGGTAGTTCTCGGTCCACTTGCTACTGGAGCCTAACTTGTAGGATTTTGAGCATAACTTTGCTAGTATGTGAAATGAGTGCAATGGTGTGGTAGTTTTAACATTCTTTGGCATTGCCCTCCTTTGGAATGGGAATGTGAACTGACCTTTTCCAATCCTGTGGCAATTGTTGAGTTTTCCAAATTTGCTGGCATATTGAGTGTAGCACTTTTACTGCATTGTCTTTTAGGATTTTGAATAGCTCAGCTGGAATACCATTGCCTCCATTAGCTTTGTTGTTGCTCAGACTTCCTAAGGCACATTTGACTTCACATTCCAGGATGTCTGGCTCGAGGTCAGTGACCATCCCATCGTGGTTATCAGGGACATTAAGCTCTTTCTTGTATAGTTTTTCTGTGTAATCTTGCCACCTCTTCTTAATCTCTTCTGCCTCTGTTAGGTCCCTGCCATTTTGGTCCTTTTTCATGCCCATCTTTGCATGAAACGTTCCCTTCATATCTCCAATTTTCTTGAAGAGATCTCTGGTCCTCCATCTATTTTTTTCTTCTATTTATTTGCTGTTCATTTAAGAAGGCATTCTTATCTCTTCTAGCTATTCTCTGGAATTCTGCATTCAATTGGGTGTATCTTTCCTTTATTAGATGAATAAATGATCATTATTCTTTGTTGAGCTGCTGTTATGCCACTGGTTTAAAACCTTAGTTAGTGATGCATTGACATGCTGCCATTGTCTTTATATTTGGACACTTCAGATTTGTTTTGTTTGGTTTTTTCTTTTGGAACTACTACTCATGCAAAAGAGAAGAATTGTGCGGCACACTTGGGCAGGTGCCGCATTGAAGAGAAAATCCCAAATGCCCTTTTCTTCTTCATTTGTGGCATTTTGAATATGACATTATCTTATGTGCTTGCTGCAGGTATCTCACACAGTATCATGGGTGTAGTTATTCTAAAAAAACTCCTAGAGTAAGTAATGAAATGGATATAGGCTAATAAAATATACCAAGGACAAGGCAGGGTTACAGATGGGAAACCTATAATTTGGTAGCCATATCCAAATTATTCTGGGTGGGGTAGCACTCTCCTTTAAAGATTCAAGTGTATAGGTTGCAGGTGATCTTGGATTCACTTTTACAGCTGGTTTGAGCACTGGGTATATAGTGACTGCCTCATATCTTTGAAACAGAAGATCTAACTATGGCTATTCATGCTTCATTAATATAATGACTGGATCACTACATTTGAGGAAACTGACAAAACAAGGCTGTATTTAGGCTACTTTACAAAGGACCATGGAAGAAATAATGAGAGAAAGGAGAGACCTGATAGAACATTTCAGAAGCACAGAAAATAATATGGGGTAAGTGCACTGAAGGGGAACAACTGGTGTCTCCCTTTTCTGGACTTGCTGGAGACTAGGTGAAGCATTGAATAGGAAGAGGCCACTTACAAGTATCAGTTCAGCTCTTAGAAATGCAAGGATGACACAATTAAAGGGGTGGTATTGGGTCTCCTTTGGTACACTTACTCTGTTCCAGTGATGTAGGCTTTCCAGGAAAAGTGGAACTGGAATTTTATCTGAAAAATAAACCTGCATCAGCCTGGTTTCTGCCACAAACCAGGCCAGTCCACATGAAAGAGGAAGGCAGTGCAAGTAGCAGGAGCAGCTCAGTGGGGCCATTGGCTAGGATGGAGCATCCAGGTGGAGGAGGTGTGCAGGAGGGTCATGTGGAAAGGCGGCTGGCTAAAAGCCCATAGGGAGGATCTTTCCACCCATGGCCCTGCTTTCCTTGGTCTCTGTGCCATGCCAGCCTTGTTTCTGTATTAAATTCAATGAATTCAGTCAATGAATGGAGAAAGACTGTTGGGAGTGGAATATATCTACACAAGAAGCTAAGTGGGAGGAGGAAGGGGAAGCAGTAAAAATGAAAGTGAAACCTTTTGAGCAGAACACTCCACAAGTCTTTGGATCTTTTTGTGTATAGCCTGAGGTTTATCATATTATTCTTTCCCTGGATGAAAACACCTATAATGACAGCAGGCCATTCAAGAGACCCTGTTTGGGAATATTTTAATGAAGTTCCGACAGGTAAGGCAGGCATGTGTGTAAATGATGTAGAAAACCATGATTTAGTCTTAAGGACTAATGATTTCAATTGATTTGATTTAAATAGAATCCACTCTGCTCAGGTCATTGCAGCTTATTTAGTTCTTAAACCTGCAATGACCTGCAGGTTCTTCAGTGGCAGCTTCTTGAAGGAATTTTGCTTCCTTGTATCAACTGTATGCCAGTTATGTACCATGATATGCTGTTCTAATCTAAGAACTGGGTATCTGTACCATTTAGTATAAAGGCCACTGTAGAAAGATTCAACAGAACCCATAGTCAGTATTTTAGCTGAAGTAAGAAAATGAGGGAGAGGAGCTCAATAGTTTCGTTCTTAATATATGACACCTACTGAATAGTGATAACTTCCACATAGACAAAATTATACAGATACTGGTAAAGTGCTGTGTGTGTTCGTTTTGACTCAGTACATGCACTGGGAAGTTGCTATGTGCTTTAGCTTCATGGTTGCTGTACTAATGGCAGATTACACGATAATGAACTTCATAAACCTTTTTATTTATTTAAAATATTCCCTTCAGCAAAGCTTCCAGGAAAAGTTGCAAAAATAAAATAACATTCAAGGATAATAAGAGCATGTTTGAAAATACACTAGACTTAGGAGATTCAGTATGTTTTTGGTTCAGAAATGGCAATATGCGAACCCCCTCTCCTCTGGGGGAGGAATGTCAAAGTTCTTTGGAAGCCTGCTTGGACTTCAGGGAGTTGTTGTTGTTGTTGTTGTTGTTATTATTATTATTATTATTATTATAGCATTTCTATGCCGCCCCTTGCCGAAACCTCGGGGCGGCTTACAACATGATAAAATATATTGAAATACAATAGTACATAATAAATTACCATTAAATATAAAAATACAAAGAATACATTGATTTACACTTTCTATGATAGATGCCTGGCTTCGTTGTATAATCTGAAGGAGAATTTTGCTGGCATGAGATATGAGGGCAATTGCTTGGTAGTTAGAACAATCCTTTGAGTTGCCCTTTTTTGGAATGGGAATGAAGATTGAGCACTTCCAATTCTCTGCCAACGTGTTGGTTTCCCAGATTTTCTGGCATAAGGCTGTTATGGTTCTGATTTGTACATGCTTCAGCGATCCTGCAGGGATGTTGTCAGTGCCTGGTGCTTTGTTGTTTGGCAGCTGATTTATTGCCCATGCTACTTCTTCCTCAAGAATGGCTGGTTCGATTTCTGTTTTGGTTTCATTTTCCATATTATCCTGATGTGGTTCAGTCCCACTGCTTATTGTGTATAGCTCTTCACTGTATTCTCATCATCAGTTCTTGATGTTTTGTTAATCAGACAGTTCTTTCCTTTGTTTTTTATGATAGCTTAGTATACACTAAAAACTGTTTGAATTTAATGTGCATATTTGTTCCTTGTATAACCCTTCTTGCAATCCTCTTCTAGCTGTTTATCATTGTTACACAAAACATGTTTTGAAAACTTTTTAAAGTTTAGCTCTAGGAACATTGTTCTTTTAAAGATAGTAAAATATCTCATCCAATGACATTTTAGTGCTTGTAGCAAAATGGAGCAGAGAAGTCAATGAGACACATGCTTTCATCTTTCATTAGGGCAGATGGTAGTTATACCCCAGAGAGAACTTGTGTTTGATTTTTGTATTTGTATTTTTCTCCTTTCTCCTGATTTTCATCCTTGTATTTTTCTCTAGATATTAGTTAACTCAGTCATGTATGTTTCTCATAAAACAGGATATTTTAAAATGTAGTAATTTTTCTACAAATTTTCCAGCTTCAGTTTTGGTGATATAACTACATCACATCCTGTCAGCAAATGCTAAACACATTTCCTTAAGTTCCTCAAATGCAGTACTATGAAGGCTCCCCTTCATACTTTATACACTTATCCTTCCTTCCAACTTTTTTATCTGATTCAAACTTCTTAATATTTCGTTTGCTTCTCTATTGAGATCATAGCTCAAGACAATTATTGCTTATGGAAACTTAGGGAAGATCAATAACTAATTTTGGATAAATATTTGGAAATTTGGAGCAGGAGTTCAAGATTCAAAATGTTTCCAGGACAAATATTTGTCACTATAGGTCATCTCTCAGAATAAAGAAGTTCCTGTATCAAAACCAGCCATGAAATCAGATTGAATCAGATCAAGATATTGCCTGTCATTTACAAACAGCTGATACTGGTTGGTTACCATGTGCTTAAGTATTTTGTTGAACAAAGGGATATTAAAAACCCTTGGATATTAGTCAAACTTCTCAAGGTCCAAAGATGATATCTTCAGGAGTATCTTTCAAGAACAGCAGGACTATCTTTCTCAGAAAGGCATTGCTTACCTCCTGAACCCAGCTGATGTATTTTTCCCCATCCCAGCTTGTTAATATCCCAACCATGTTAACAGGGCAGATCTTGAGCAAATGAATGTTATACAAATATCATGTCTATGTTCTTAGTCTGCAATTGCTGAAATTTAATCCCATGAGCCATGACTAGATGGTGCACTGGATGCTTCATCTGGCATCATTGTAGGATCTGTGCCATTGTAATTCACAATGGATGTAAGCAATTTTATTCTTAAACAACCTAGCAAAGATACAGTGTGCTACCACATGCCAGGGGCCCAGATTAAGGTGCTTTGTCCACTGTCACACATATGAGTCTTCCTAGTATTCAGAAGCTGTCACCACCCCCCTGACATCTCCCTCTTCCCAGGCATGTCCATTGGACAGAGGGCTCAACAAAAGGGAGCAGTTGCAAAGAGCCCTCCAGGAAGATGGCCTCAGTTTGTACAACAGCATGAGTAATATAAAGTTTATAAGATGATATTAGAAGAACAGGATCAATATGATTCACTTAAAGCAAGATGGGAAACAGTTTTGAGGAAAAAACATTAGTAATGAAGATTGGGAAAATATCTGAAGAGAATATTGAAATGTATGTTAGTAAGAATGAAGGAACATTTCTACAGAATTGTATGGAAGTGGTACCTAATTCTAGTGATGCTGAATTTATATGGATAATAAATACTCCATTTTATGTTGGAGATGTGGTCGTGAAGTGGGTACACATTTCCCTAGATGGTGGGAAAGTGAATATATAATGACAATTTGGAAAGAGATTTTTAAATAGTGCAGTAAAATATATATGCCCTGAGATTGCATTACTTTCATTATTTGATAAACAATGGAGCTGGAATAATAAAAATTAATAAAAATGAATAACTGCAGCAAGACTAATTATAGTTAAGAATTGGAAAATAATATATGGTTACCAATTGTTTGACTGGTGTAGAGAAGTTTAGAATAAAGTTTAATATCACATGACAAATTAACAAGTGATATTAAAGTGAGAAAAAAGCATATAAAGAAAAATAAATTTAATGAGATTTGAGGTGTATTTGTTGAGTATGTTTTGAATTAAAGGAAAGGATTTGAGCCATCAAAAGATTCATGACGGGGGGGAAACGTCCTGAAATGAGGGGGGGGGGGGGAAACGTCCTGAAATGTCTGAAGGTTTTTTTTTTTGTCTGAAGGCTTTTTTTAAATCTGTAACGTGTATCTTTGTTCCTGGTGGTGAGTAGCACAGTAGTGTAATTATTATTTTTATTGTATGTCAAGTTTTTTATGTTTGCATTTTAAATGTAGGGTTATTTTGCTTGTATTTTAGATTGGAAATTAATAAAAATCGTTTTATGCAACTTATGTTATGGCTATCTCCTAACCTGCTTTATCACTCACAGTCCTTAGTAAATCAGGGGACTGATTGAATTCTGTATTTCAAGAGAAGTTGTTTAAGAGTGATCATGTCAATAATCCTATTTATACTAGTGTGCTCCAGAAAGGCTGTAGCTTCAGCAGGTGCCATACAGCTGGCCATACATACCCTATCAACTACAAATGTGCTAAAGGTGCTTAGGAATAAGGCTGTTGAAGAATTGGAATAGCTGATGAACAATTGGAATAGTCATATAATAATCACAGTAGCCATGATTTACTACCTGCAACCCTTTCAGCACAGACAGACAGCCTAGTCAAGTCCTGAACCACTCCAATAAGGTAACTGTTCTTTGAATATTGGCAGTTGTGGTTTTCCCTGCATTAATGGTGTTACCATGTAAGAGAACCATCAAAGCACCACAGCTGGCTTCAGAAGTCTCAGAAACAATATCTTGTTTACCAAGTTATCTTTATTGTTATGTTATTAACAACATCTCTTTCTATTAATACTGCTGCTTCACCCTTTGGTTGTCAGAAAAAACAGACAGATCCAGAGGCAGATAAGATTAACTATTTGAAGAATGTCTTTAATATTTTCACCTCGTTACCATCGCCAGATAGAAAAGACAGAGGTTCAGGTGGGTGATGCTTATTTTTGAACTGCTAGTCACGTAAGGATTTTTAATTGTCAAGATTGTTGTTTAAATTTTAATGTTGCCAGTGCTTTCTCTGTTTCCATAGGGCATTTCCACATGACCTAAAATGTAAACTTAGTGATAGTTCCAATTCCTGCTATATTCCCTTTCCCACTTAAAAAGGGAAATCAGTGGTAGGATAACTTTGCTACTGGAAAAAATGTGGGTTTTATTATACATAATGTAAGAGAATGGTGTTATATCCATTGATTTCTGAGGGCAAGGAAGGAGAATATACAAGAAAACTTAATGGAGTACATTGAAATAATGTGGAATCTATTTTTTCCAAAAGTTATCTGATGGTGGATGAGACTAGAGTGTACTAGAGTTTAAGTTCTCATTCATACCAGAAACCGCATATTCCGTTTTTATGTGGGATTCTAAAGTTCTTTTCCATTTATTGGGGCCACCTTTATTACTGTTCATTATTTATTCATTACTGGGGAACAAACACCCTTTGTTTGAAGCCTGAATATTTATCTCAAAGACCATCCTTGCTTATGTGAACTTATCTGCCCATCTGAGATTAAGCATCTGAGGCCTGAAGTGGTAATACCACCAGCGCTACAGGGTACAGATGTTCTGTACTTGTTCTTGACTGTGGATATTCTTTCCTGGCAAGCTTAGTTGGTACCGACACTAATATCTTCCTTCACATATTCATTTGGCTTTAACACAAGATTAAACCTATCCATAAAGATACACAATTTCCAGAAAATGGAAATATTGAGGAAAATGGAACTGTATGTTATGCCTATTTTCATACCACATCTAAAAATAACTTACTGCTTCAGCACCATAAAATACATCAGCATATAAAACTGTATTATTTGGCATGTTTATGGCATTTACAGAGTGGCGGGGAGGGTACCATTAAACTACCTGCAACCTGAAACCACCCATGGATAACTAGCCCACAGTGCTTCCATGCAGATAGCATAACAACTACCCTCTGAATAAGCTATGCAGTGTGTGTTTGTTTCCACCAGAAATTTGACAGATGATTGGGATTATAAAGGATTGTACTGCTCCTTCCCCCTTAGTCTTCCTGCAGGAGACTCAGTAGCAGACCTGTCTTGACTTTTCTCCCTGTAGCAGCTGCGGTCACTTCTGCATCATCATGGCTTCTTTCAATTTTACACTTTTTTCATCCTGGATATATGATCTCTGAATAACAACCATTGGCAACTCTTTCAAGGTGCCCAAGTGGCACATTGGAGCAGTTGTTACTTATTCACCAGTTATTTAAAAAATATTTTGACACCTAATATTTGTGGTATACACCTGAGCTGAGGGCACTTAAGCAAGAGGGGAGACAGCTAGAGCTTAGGTGGAGGAGAACCTGTGCTAACCGAACACAACAGAGTTCACTCTTGAGCCTACTCCATGGTGATGAGAGTGGCAAAGAGGCATTCTTTTCCACCAGCATTACATCTTCTCAGTGTTGTCCAGCAGAGCTTTCCTGAGTGGTTTATGGCCTTTTACAATCTCTGCCAGGAAAGAAACTGTAGAATACTTGGTAGCTCACTATGATGAATTTGGAAAACACTTTGAAGATAAAGTTGCTTGGATTTGCCACAAGTTCGATACTACAATTGATACAGTTCCATAAACAGAGGCATACAGAGGACCATCTGGTCCAGTTTTGCTGCATGAGCTTCAGTTATTGAGGCCTGAGGATGTGGACAATGGACTTGGCCTCCTACCTTTATTCTCAACCCTCACTTATCTTGGCTTATTGTATTCACATCAGGATCCAGGAGGCTGTAATTGCTTCTTTGAAAGGGGGAGTGGTGCCAGCCTCTTTAAAGGAGGCTGTGATTAGACCACTCAAAGAAATCCAGCCTGGACACAGAAGATATGAATAACTATAGGCCTGTGGCCAATATGCCCTTCCTGGGCAAGTTTTTTGAGTGGGCAGTAGCTGAACAGCTCCAAGCACTTTTGAATGAAATTGGCTATTTAGATCCATTTCAGTCAGGCTTCAGACCTGATTTTGGAACCTGGGGGTGACCTTTGCTGGGAGAGAGACAGCGATTGCAATCCTGTGGATTCTCTTCGATCTCTTGGAAGGCAAGCAAGTTGAGGAGAGGTGGATGGCACTCAAAAGGGAGGTTTTGGAGGCGCAAGCCTTGATGATGCCTCTAGTTAGTAAGGTAGGGAGGTGAAGGAGAGCACTGCCATGGAAAGGAAGTGGTTAGAGGGATTAGACGGAAGAGAAACCTCGGTAGGAAATGGGTACTGGGGCAAATAGAAGGGTATATCGGGAGGAGGAGACCCGTTGCAGAAGGATTCTTTGCAAGGCTCCGGCTGATTGTGAGCTGAGACTTGCCAAGAATATCAAGTGCAACAAAAAGGGCTTCTATCAGCATGTAAATAGGAAGAGGAAGGGGAGACAAGTAGTGGAACTGCTAAATAAGGAGGAAGGAGATCCTGTGACTGATATGAGGGAACAGGCACAGATGCGAAATGACTATTTTGCCTCTGTGTTCTCCCCAAAGCAGGACAGGGGAGATCCACATAAGAGATTAGATGGGGCTGGGGACTTAGGGGCAAAGATTAGAGTCACCCCCCCTTGAAGTCGAGGGGCTCCTCAGGGCATTGGACATTACAAAGGCGCCAGGCCCTGATGGGTTACACCCGAGAGTACTGAGAGAGTTGGCAGGGGTTCTCCCATGCCCGCTGGCCTCCATTTTTGAGGCCTCGTGGAGAACGGGTGATGTTCCAGAGGACTGGAGGGTGGCATCAGTGGTCCCAGTTTTCAAAAAGGGTAGTAGAAGGGACATGGGGAATTACAGTCCAGTTAGCCTTACATCCACTGTAGGAAGAACAATGGAAAGGCTCATAACAGAGAGAGATCTAGTGATGCTAGATAGGGAAGGGAGGCTGGCGGCCACACAACATGGCTTCCGCAAAAACATGTCCTGCCAGACAAACCTTGTGGAATTCTATGACAAGGTTTCGAGATGGCTGGATGGAGGGGATGCAGTGGATGTGGTTTACCTGGATTTCAGCAAGGCCTTTGTCAAAGTGCCCCATGATATCCTGGTGGAGAAACTGAGGAGTTTTGGGATACACCAAGCACTGTCTCATGGATTAGGGCATGGTTGACTGACCAAAAGCAGAGGGTAACCATTAGTGGGGAATCATCGGGATGACTGCCAGTGACAAGCGGGGTCCCCCAGGGCTCTGTCCTGGGGCTGACCCTTTTTAATATTTTCATTAATGACATGAAAGAAGGTGTGAACAGTCTGCTGATCACATTCGCAGATGATACTAAAACGGGGGCAGTGGCCACAACTGTGGAGCATGTACTCTGCATCCAGGAGGATCTGGACAGACTATGGAAGTGGGCAGGAGACAACAGGATGGTGTTCAATGTGGATAAGTGCAAGGTCTTATACTTGGGGCATAGGAATAGGTGTCATAAGTACTGGTTAGGTGACAAGTGTCTGGAGAGCAGCACTTGTGAAAGGGACCTTGGGGTGCTGGTTGACTGCAGGCTAAACATCCGCAGTGTGATGTAGTGGTTAAGAGGGTGAACGCCACCCTTGGTTGCATAGCCAGAAGTGTGGCTTCTAGGTTGAGAGAGGTATTACTGCCACTCTATAGGACTCTGGTGCGCCCGCAACTGGAGTATTGTGCTCAGTTTTGGGCCCCTCATTACAGTAAGGATATAGCCAGGTTAGAGTCAGTGCAGCATGGGGCCACAAGGTTGGTGGCCGGTTTGCAGGGGATGCCGTATGAGGAGAGACTGAGGGAACTGGGTCTCTTCAGCCTGGAGGAGAAGAGACTTGGAGGGGATATGTTGGCGACATACAGGTATGTGAGGGGATGTCACATGGAGGTGGGTAGAGACCTGTTTTCCCCTGCAGAGGAAGGCAGGACGTGCTCCAACGGAGCAAAGCTCAGGGAACCAAGGTTTCATTTAGATGCCAGGAAGCACTTCCTGACAGTTAGGACCCCGAGGGTGCGGAATGGGCTTCCACGGGAGGTGGTTGAGGCACCATCAGTGAGGGTGTTCAAAGATAGGCTAGACATGCACATGGTGGGCATGTCGTGAGTGGTGCCGGCTGGAGCCGGGGATCAGACTAGATGGCCCAGGAGATCCCTTCTGACTCGCTCTGTTTCTATGTTTCTATCTCTCAGTTGCGTTCAATACCATTGACCATGGTATCCCTCTGGACAGGCTAGTTGGGTTAGGGTAGGATAGGCAGTGGTTCTGCTCCTATCTGACTGACTGATTTCAGAAGATGGTACTGCAGGATTACTGCTCTGCACCATAGCAACTTTTCCATGGAATTCCACAGGGAGTTACAGGCAGTCCCCAGGTAACCAAGGAGGGCTCCTGTTCCTGAGAAAACAGAAATTTGTCTTTAAGTCAAATGTGTATGTAAGTCGGATCATATATAGTAATCCCTCCACCTTCATGGGAGTTAGGAGCTCAGGACCACTGGAAAAGTGGAAAAACTGCAAATACCTCTAGCCACTGCTGCCACTGCCCCAACTCACCAGTGCCTCCTCTTTGCAACAAGAAAATGCCAGAGATTGCCCATTCTGGATGGATAGGGCAGGAAGGCCAGCTCTGTAGGCCACCCTCTCTAATCCTTTCACTTTCTCTCTATGGTGATGCTTTAGAGCAGCCCCCCTAGCTCCCCTTTTGCTTCCTATCTCTCTGTGGTGATGATAATTTCTTGCACTATGTTTTAAAATTAATTGACTTTATGGCTGTCTGTTCATGAGGACGGGTTGTTAAATGGGACGTTCGTAACTCAGGGACCACCTGTATTTTATCCTCCATGCTGTTTCATATCTACTTGAAAATGTTGGGAAAGGTCACCCAGAGATATGGGCTGAGATGCCATCCCTATACAGATGACACTCAGCTCTACCTCTTTTTTCATCAAACCCAGGTGAGGTAGTGGCTAAATTCATTGCCTGGGCTTGGTAATGAACTGAATGAGGGCCAGTAAACTGAGACTTAGTCCAGACAAGATGGAGGTACTGTTGGTGGGTGGATCATCTGTCCAGTTGAAAGATACTCAACTTGTCCTGGATGGGGTTGTACTCCCCCAAAGGATAAGGTTCATAGTTTGAGGATGCTCCTCATTCTGGCATTGTCACTCGAGTTTCAAGGGGACTCAGTAGCATAGAGCACCTTCTAATCAGCTTAAGCTTATTTTCCATCTATGACCCTATCTGGATAGGTAAAGCCTATCCACAGTGATCCATGTTCTGGTAACCTCTCTTTTGGATTACTGTAACACTCTCCAAGTGGGAATGCCTTCAAAAATGATCTGGAAACTTCAACTGATTCAAAATAGGACGGTGAGGTTATTGACAAGGACTGACCCACAAAATCACATCATGCCACTCCTCTTCCATCTACACTGGATGCCAGCTGAAGTCCAGAACCAATTCAAAGTGTCACAAGAGACATCTACTAAAATATTCAACAGTTGAACCATAAGTGGAGATAATGTCAAATGAGGATAACATGTCAGAAGGAGTGAAGATGCTGTTTTTTGTTTATTTTGTTTGTTCTAACAACAACCAGGTGATAATCTATCAGAAAATGCTGAAGCATCAAATGAAAGCTATGTGTATCCTCTGGATGAGACTGTTGATGCATTGCCTTTAGGATCAGTTGCTCTTTTGCTGGAAGAAGAAGAGGAATCACATGGAGGAATGTAAGTTTCTTTTGCTCAAAATGAGAAATTGTATAAGCAGCATTTCTATTCCCAGATAATTTTAGACTGGTGAGGAGTAACAGGACACAATCAAGGGTCTGTTTAAGCAAGCCATTTAAGGGCAATAAGGTGCTTCTGAGGCCCAGCACAGCTGTGCAGTCAAGCACCAGCTTCTTCCTCTGTCTGTGAACTGAGTAATTATTATGTATTTGTAAATTAAAATTGAAAATTTTTAAATTGAATCCATGGGGAAATGTGGTCTGCATCTTCTAATTTTTCTTCAACCAGCAGAAATTTGAGGAAAACTTGCAAGATGTAATTATTTTCCTATCAGATCTATTTTTATTACACAAAATACATTGTTTATAACTTAGCACATTATCATAACTTAGCACACACACTGTTTGACAGGTGTGTGTGTGTGAACTTAGTTTACCTGTATTAGCTTTTATTTGCATAGCAATTACAAATAGGTCTTGCTGAAGGAGCAGCAAGCTTATGCTCCCAAGGGTTCCTAAACATAATTTGTCGGTCAAAAAGCAGACTGGGGAAAAATAAGAGCTGAAAAGAGAAAGCTTCAGCATTGCAATAAAAGGATTGTATTTTTAATCTGGAGATATAAATAATCTCCCCTATTAGCATTATTGGTACTGTCGGCTGTAGGAAGAGCAGCCAAGAGAATGAACACTCAGATCCACAGGGAGACCTATCTGTTAGGAACCTCTGCAGTTTTATTGTTGAGAACATCGTGGAACTAACCCTTCTGCAGAGAAAATCTACAACAGCATGGTTGTGTAGAAGTGCACAAAACACCTACAAGCTTTTAGAACATATACAGAGTGTTTTGAAGGCTTCTAGTCATATACACAGGAACAGGGCAAATTATGAGGAAAATAATGGACACATAATGCATTCATAGAAACAGCGAGTCAGAAGGGGCCTCCAGAGCCATCTACTCTGACCCCCAGCTCCACTCAAAACATGCCTACCATGTGCATGTCCATGCCTATCTTTAAACACCCTCACTGATGGGGCTTCAACCACCTTCCATGGAAGCCCATTCCATGACCTAGGGGCCTAACCATCAGGAAGTACTTCCTGGCATCCACCTTGAATCCTGGTTTCCTGAGTTTTGCTCCATTGGAACCTATCCTGCCCTCCACCGCAGGGGAAAATAGGTCATAACCCACCTCCATGTGACACCCCCTCACATACTTGTATGTTGCCAACAGGTTCCCTCTGAGTCTCCTCAAGGCTGAAAAGACCCAGCTCCCTCAGTCTCTCCTCATATGGCTTACCCTGCAAACCAGCCACCATCCTTGTGGCCATTTGCTGCATTGATTCCAACCTTGGTATATCCCTCTTGTACTGAGGGGTCCAGAACTGAACACAATACTCCTGCTGTGGGCACACCAGAGTTGTATAGAGTGGCAGTAATACCTCTCTCGATCTAGAAGCCACACCTCTAGCTATGCAACCAAGGGTGATGGTCGCCCTCTAGACTGCCACACCAACTGCTGACTCATGTTTAGCCTGCAGTCAACCAGCACCCTGAGATCCCTTTCACAAGAAATGCTGTTCAGCCACTTGTCCCCTCACCTGTATTTATGATACCCATTCTTATGCCCCAAGTGCAAGACCTTGCACTTATCCACATTGAACACCATCCTGTTGTCCCTTGCCCACTTTCATAGTCTTTCCAGATCCTTCTGGATCCAGAGTACATGCTCCTCAGTTGTGGCCACTGCTCCCGTTTTAGTATCATTTGCAAATATGATCAGCGGACTGGTCCTCCCTTCTTCCATGTCTTTTCAGCTTTGAGAAGAGGAGACTTCGAGGGGATCTGGTGGCAGCATATAGGTATGTGAGGGGATGTCACACGGAGGTGGGTAAAGACCTGTTCTCCCCTTCAGAGGTGTGTAGGATGCGCTCCAGTGGAGCCAAGCTCAAGGAACCCAGGTTTAATTTGGATGCCAGGAAGTACTTCCTGATAGTTAGGACCCTGAGGGTATGGAATGGGCTTCCACAGGAGGTGGTTGAAGCCCCATTGGTGAGGGTGTTCAAGAATAGACTGGACTTGCAAGTGGTAGGCATGTCATGAGCAGAGCTGGCTAGAACCGGGGTCAGACTAGATGGCTGGGGAGGCCCCTTCTGACTTGCTCAGTTTCTATGTTTCTATGGATTTTTCCCTCTTTTTCTTATACAATTTACTTGGTTTTTCCCAGCAGTACACTGACAAAGTAATGAAATACTGCATTTTATGTTTATGTATATATTGATATACAAGCGGGGGATTATACTGTGTGCATCTGATGAACTCCACAAAAACTTATGCCACAATAAATTTGGGAGCCTAAAGGTGTCCCAGGATGTTGATGTTTGCCAGTGATGAGAAGTAGGACTGAGTACAGTGTAAGTAATGAACCTTCCTTACAATTTTTTCCAAGTGTCTGAAAAAAAAATCCTAATTTCTGTCTCTCTATCTGAACAGATCACAGTATTAAAGACTATGCATAAATTTATATTATGACTCCCTTTTGCTTTTAGAGATAAAATTCTACAACAAATCCCAGCATAAATTGGCAAATTAAAATATGTGGCTTATTTCCCCACCAACACCCTTGCAGGCTCCATTTTGATGAAGAGGCAGTTGTTACAAGTTTACAGAACATTAGAGGCATTGAAGAGTCTGAGGGAAGGAAAGAAACACAGGAATGGCTCATTGACCAGCCAAAAAGTTTGGCAACATCATCAACTCAGAAAAAGCACTTAGAATCCTTAGTATCACTAGAAGCTGTGAAAAGATCTATGCAACGGTAAGAGGTGATATACTATAGAAATACCAGCTCATTAGAGAATAGTATTGTATTAAGGTATTTGAGCCTTTACTTTTTTAAAAAGAATATCTTGACATAAACAGAGTACAAAAAGAAAAAAAAGTATATGTCAAATATGGTAAAGCCATGGGATTTTAAACAAGTACAACTGATACATTCAAACTCACAAATTTATCTACCTTTCTGTCATTTAGCACTCTATGGGAGTTCAGAAAAGAAGTTATTATTCCGTACACCAACACATTTTTCAGTCACTAACTCCTCAACTACTTTTTAAATAACTCCATTGCGCTTTTACAATGGGAAGTGCTAGTGCTAGCAAGTGACCATTTCTCTTGAGGCCCATGTCTCAAGGGAGGGTATCTCACAGGGCTGCTAGAAGGTTCGAAGAATCATAGAATAGTAGAGTTGGAAGGGGCCATTAAGGCCATTAGGTCCATTCCCCTACTGCTGCAGCACACCACGTTATACCATCTCACTCAGATGGCTGCCCAGTTTCTTTGTAAGCAAAGAGATCAAGGGACTGCTGACTCTGCAAGCAGGCAAGATTACCTTGGAATATTGTATATGACTAGTTTTCTTAGATGGCTGCAGGCTTGAACTTAGCGCTTTTTTCCGAGACATAGGGCCAGCCTCTGCAATGATGGATGGGCCTCACTAAGTAAGGTATTTGAGCCTATACAATGGGAAGTGGTAGTGTTAGCAAGTGACCATTTCTCTTGTGGCTCATGTCTCAAGGGAGGGTATCTGACAGGGCTGTGTGGCTCCAGAAGGTTCAGAGGCTATGCTTTGTGCATCTGCACAGAAGTCTACTCCGAGACTACCCTGTTCAGTTAAAGAACCTGTCTTTTTCCTTCCTTAACCTAGGAAATCTGCTTATGTTATATTTCTCTGATCAATGGTGGGATGTTAGACTCATTTCTTTGCAGTTTTCTTTGCAAGATTAAGTGCTAGCAGATGAGAATTTTCCTGTTACAATCAGGGCCTCGGTTTTGTTGTCATTAAATCAGAACCTGATTTTTTTATTGATCCAAAACTGGATGAGTGCTATATACAAGCAGAATTTTATTCTTCAGGCAGGTCAGAGGCCATCTTGAGTGTAAAATCTGTCTAGCTAAAGTCCAGTTTGCTTAGTATAGCATGGAAATGATTTCTGATTTTCTTAAGAAAATATTTATTGGAAAATATCTTAGTTTATCACAAATAACTTGAATAAATCTGAAATAACACATTGAGATTTCCTTTATGTGTTTCCCTCCCTCCTAGAAATGTAATTGATGTAGAACCAGAAGATGAGTGTGAGTTTGTGATAGAGGAATCATTTGGAGTGCCTTCTACATTTTGGATCTCAGCATCCCAGAAGAAAGAAAAGCCTCAGAAGAATATCTTAACAGAGGCATCCTCTAGAGGGGAAAAAAGAATCAAGCACGATAGTGTAAAAAAAGTGGGGCAGGCATCCAAGAAACTAGTTGCAGGAACACCAGTAAAGCAAAGCAAAACAAAGGTAGCTAAGGTTGCTGAAAGAACTAGTGATAGATTGAAGAATGCTTCAAGGAATAAAGAAATACTGACTATGGTAGAATACCAGTCAAAATTGGCTGTTAGTGCCAACAAAGAGGTAAGGAAGCAAATGGATTCTAAAGAGAAGGCATCAGGAATAAATAATGAGAGTTGTGGTGACTCTGCAAGCAGAAATCAGTCAGAGGACCTAGCATCTTTACTGGAAGAGGGCGATGATTTTTCAGTGCAGCCTCAGCCTCTTAGAAATACTGCACAGGCACAGGAGCCTTCCCAAAGTGAGCAATGTATGAGGCAGAAATGCTCAAAAGTTACGCCCCTGGCAGAAATACGTAAGGAAGCTTTTCAGTATTTTACAAACAGAGATGTGTACTCAGAAGAACTGATAGAAGACCACCATTTTTCAAAGGTGGCATTACCTGTGCAAAGTATAGCTGAACAATTACCTTGTAGTAAAAAATCTGTGAAACAAATATGTTCCAAAATGAAACCATCAGTAGAAAAGCTTAATAAAGATAGGCAAGAGTGCGGAATTATATCATTGTCCTCAGAGGTTTGCCTGAATTCTAGGGATGCAAACAAGCATTCTGAGGACCAGCTTTCAGTTCTGAAACCCATTACAATCATTGGTCCTGCAGCTCAACAGTCATCCCATACTAAATCAGTAAGGAAGCAGAAGCCTTCAGATATTAGCCTACCTGAAAAACAAATAAAAACTCGAAGTAATAATGTTAAAAGGTCTGTTAGGGGCACTAGAAAGAAAAGCAAGGTGCTGGTTTTAGAGGAGAGTTCTGAAAGTAGACATGAAGAAGATCAGTGTGATGCAGGGGGTAAAAGTTTTCATAAGATAAGAACAAATAAAGCACAAAAGACACCATCTGCTTTGGTAAGCTTGGAAGAGAATGATTATGGAAATATATCTGATGAACAGAATCCTTGTGAACAGTGTGCTGCAGAAATAAGGTTAAATGCCTCCAAGGATCAACAAAGCAGCAATATGCATCCTCTGCAGTAAGTTCTTTAATTTTTACTTATGCATTCATTTCCATTCATATTTGACGTTTTTCCCGTTCTTGCTGCTGTGGCCAGGCTACTTTTCTAAGGTGACAGAACTGTGTATGGGCCATTTCTGAATGTTGGGCTACTTCAAAGCCTTTGACAACTGTCCTGATATATGCACCTTTAGAGCAATCTGTCAGCATAGTAGGGTACCTGTAGCCCCTTGGGTGCTTCATGAGGGGGAACTTTCCCTCTTGCTAGTCATTTTTGTAAGTACAGGTTTTCACTGTTGTACATAAGGGGCAAAACACCCCCTTCACCCCTAAAAATGGCTTATTGTGGAAAAAGCCATGCCTGCCGAGGCCCCTGTTGCATCAACGATCCCTGGCTGTAGATGGGGGCTTCTGTTTAGTCTTTTCTCCATAACATTGAAAGGGAAGGCAGACAGAAGAGCCCCACACCCCAAAACATGGGTGGCTTGGGAATATTGGGAATTATACAATTGCTTTCTGTCATACTGTACACAAGATTGTGCCCTTTATCAGCTTTATTTCTTTTGTTTCCTCCTTGTGCCCTGTTTTCTTTTTGAAGGATGTCTGAACAGCTGGTTGGGGTACAGCAAGTTCTTCAGAATTTCTGTTTCTATCTGGAATTCATACATGAATGATTTTTAGTGCTTTGTTCATCATGTACGGAGAAATAAAGGGGACAAGAGGGTGATCTTTAGTAAACAAAAATAACAGTCTTGTGCTACCCTCAAAATTAATGTGTACTATGATAAGCTTGAGTGGGCAAGGGGACTCGTTCATAAAGCTTTTCACAATAGTTAGTTCTAGTGGTACAAGACTATTTGTTGTTTCTGGTGCAATGGACTAACATGGGTACACTGCTAGAATTGGTTGCTACCAATTGTTCTGCTGAACATAGCAGAAACTTCTAGGTGCTGTGCAGTTCAGTGCTGGTTAGCTATGTCTTCACATCCCAATGGGATGTTAAGTAGTTCCTCGTGGCTTTGACTGTTTGCGTAGATGGATTATCTAGTTTTAGGATGCTTATTAACTATTAATTTCTTTTAGGTGTTCTTATGCACCAGATGCAAATATGAATAATATCAGGTAGTTTTCCCTTCTGTATATGTAGACCTTCATGTTTTCAACCCAGAAATCTTCTGAAGTGCCTGGAACTTGGGAGCTAATGTCTGTAGGTTATATTTGCTTGTTTGTCACCTTCCCCTGTATGCATGAGAGGATTTTGCTAGGTAGTTTTGCTTTTGCAGTGTTTGTAGCAATGATTTTGCACTGGAACATTATTGACTCAATGGGTGTGGATGTGTGCTGCCACTATGTTAAAGCAGGGGTGCAATGGCAGGCCCATGGGTCAAATCTGTCTCACCTGGGTCCCCATTCTGGCCTTCTGGGATTCTGCAGATTGCCATACCTCTGGGGAGCAAAGGAAGGGGGTTTTTCTGACTACCTGGCCAGTTCCTTTTTTTCCTGTTTTAGAAAAAATACTGGCAGTATGTTCTTCAACAGAAAATATGCTTGTATTTTTGTCATGTTGGTCCCACTCTCCACTGGAATGTTGGCCCCTCAGGGATTCTCTGAAATAGTTTCAAGAATGTTATGTTCTGAATGTATTGTCCTCTCATACCTAGGACTTCTGATTTACAAGTCAAATGTTTCAGATTTTACTTTCCTCTCATTGAAACTTTTTTTCTTTTTAAGTGGCCCAGTGTGTAGTAAGAAAAGGTCTTCCAGACATGCAATGATGTTTAACAAGGAGGATTCCACTTCAGGTAATGTTGATCAATGTGGCTATTGTACATTCCAAGTTGTTTTATTATATATTTGTACATAGAGTTAGAAATGCACACGGCAGTTTCATTTTCTCTTTACATAAATACATGTTCCTGACTGCTACTAGAAATGGCCCCTCACCTAAACACGAGCTTGAAGACACAATACAGCAAGTTTGAACAAACCATAAAAAGAAAGTGATATTTAAAGATAAATGTTACTATGCTGTTTTGAATAAATCTACTATAAATCCATTTCAACAAAAACCAAATATCCACATGTAGCCATTTGATATCTATATGCCATCCATTCAATGCTGAAAGTATTGCTGACTTCTAGTGCTGGAGTATTAGTTCTTTAGCTATCAAAAGGGCACAGAAAATCAATTTAGGTTGACTTGGATTCAAACCTCAATAAATATTAGAGAATGTTGCAGTGCAAGTTGGTGTGTATTATAACCAACTCACCAAAAGAGGCAGCTACAAGATATTAGCAAAGCATATTAGCAAAGCAAAAATTAGGTATATTACACCTCCAGCATTGAGCCAACTGCTAAAAGTAAAGCCTTATTAAAGAGACATTGTGGCATCCTCTAAACATGGGACAAGATGTAACCTGACCTTTGTTGCAATTTCATATATGGGTACTAAAGAAATAATCTTTTGATTAGATTGAATAAGTTCCCTATTTCATTTTGCTTTCAACTCTGTATATCATATTTATTCACCAATAATATATATTTACAAAGATCTACTGTTGAGTTTATACTTATATTGTGAGTTTTTACTGATCAGGCTCAGTAAATTTTTCAAATATTGGAGGAAACTGTGATGCTGTAGAATATGTGTGGCCAAAATTAAATTCCAACAGATAGTGTTATTACAAGTGTTGCCATTCAGCTTTAACAAGCAAATCATACTTGGCACGTAAATCTAAAAATGTCAAAAAGCCATACTCAACCCCCACTGATTGATCAAAATCATTTGTCCAAGTTTATCATAAAATACATTATGAATTTTAAACTCTGAATTTGCAGTGAATATTTTAATAACTATGTTAATTAGCAAAATGAGTCAACAATCCTTTCCAGATTAAGGAATCAATTTAATTCAATGGTAAAGAAACATAGAAACAAAGCGAGTCAGAAGGGGCCTCCCAGGCCATATAGTCTGACCCCCAGCTTCAGCTGTCTCTGCTCATGTAACCCCCAACAAGTGGTTGTCCAGTCTTTCCTTGAACACTCTCGATGGGGTTTCAACCATCTCCCTTGGAAGCCCATTCCATATCCCAGGGGTCCTAACTGTCAGGAAGTACTTCCTGACATCCAACCTGAAGCTGGGTTCCTTGAGCCATTAGAATGTGTCCTGCCCTCCATTGCAGGTCACAGCCCTCCTGCACATGACATCCCCTTGCATTCCTGTAAGTTGTTAAACTTGCATTCTTCTTTAATGTGGAGCTCAGAACTGGATGCAGTACTCTAGTTGGGGGCACACCAGAGTCATGAAGAGCAGTAACAACAACTCCCTAGATCTGGAAGCCACGCTTCTGGCTATACATCCAAGGGTGGTATTTGCCTTCTTAACCACTGTGTCACTCTGCTGAATCATGTGTAGACTGCAGTCGACCAGTACCCCAAGATCACAAGTGCTGCTCTCCAGCCATTTGTCTCCCCTCCTATGACACCCATTTCTATGCTCCAAGTGCACGACCTTTCACTTACCTACATTGGATGCCATCCTGTTGTCCCCCGCCCACTTCCACAACCTGTCCAGATCCTTCTGGATCTGGATCACCTGCTCCTCAGTTATGGCCACCACCTGAACTTTGGTATCTTCCATGAATTTAGTCAGCAGACTGGTTACTCCCTCCTCCAGGTCATTGATAAAAAATTAAAAAGAAAGGGAGCTCCATTCACAAATATAAAGGTGATGAAGTTTTGGATCTAAGAGGCTAAAAAAAAAGTGTTATACCACTTAACTTGAAACTCATTCAGACCTGGCGATTCATATTGGCAATTCCTTTCCTAATTTTTTCTATGTGCAAAGGAACCCTGGGAAACTGCTTTTGCAGAGCATTTATGAATGAAAGATTACCATGATGGAAAAAGCATCCAAATCTTGCTCAGATTTTTCCTACTGTGTACCAAACAAATCAGAATAAAACTTTAAAAAATGTAAATTTATATCTGTGGGAAAGGTATATAGCCTCGTATCATTCTCATCTTTAATAGCTGGAATAGTATTACACTGGTACCTTGGCTCTCGAACTTAATCCATTCCAGGACTCTGGTCGTGACCCAAATTGGTTGTGAGCCAAGTTAAATTTCCCCATGGGGTTCAATGTAAATAAGGTTTATCCGTTCTGTAACTATTTTTTAAAACAGAAAAATGTAAAGCAAAGTGACAAAGAACAACAAAGATTGCGGCCATCTCCCTCCACCCCACCCCACCCCGAGCATGAGCATGGCCATCTCCCCACCCCCTCAGCATGACCACGATTGCACCCATCATCCCTGCATGCACCCATCACCCCAGCGCGCTGGAGGGGGAGAGATGGATGTGATTGCGGGCATGCGGGGGGGAGACGGGCACGAACGCAGGTGCGCTCAGGAGGGGCAGATGAACATGATTATGCTGGGGTGGGAGAGATGACCGAGATCTCAGTTGCACTCCTACAGGAAAGACGGGCGCGATCTCAGCCATCTTCTCACTTGAGGGGGTGGAGGTGGCCACGATTGCAGCTGCCACCCAATACGGAGTCTGCGACCTAAGTCAAAACGTTTATGAAATTTTTGTTCATGACCCAATTTGGTCATGAACTAAGGCGTGTGAGCCGAGGTACCACTGTATAATGTTTCTGTTTAAGACAATGTGTCAAACCTTAGTAAGATGTTTATCATTTTCCCAATATGCCTGTTGTAAACAAGGTTAAAGTAAATTACACCTTTCCACAAATCCTAATAAACGGTGCAGCTGGGGAAATTGAAATATGGGTTATTTCAGTTTCATCGTATGCTTTGTTGCGTTTTTAAAATTCTTTTAACAAGCATAGGCACTCCTTTCTGTCCAAACATAGGTAGGATTATGCCACTAAATACTGCTGAAGCATTGAATCTAGATGTTTGTATGACCTATATTTTTAGATGAATCTGAAGATTTGGATAAGAATTTGGATGCATCATTTTTAAATTTACTGAAGCACAAACTGGGTAAGATTTTGTCTGTTTAAAAAGAATGAGAATGCATAAAATGACCTAATTAGAACTTGTACCTTGTGATCTCTTCGTAAGATGGAGGAATTAAATGCTCTGTCTTCTTTTCTAGTACTGACACAAATATTAATTGATCTTTAAAGTATTTACTTTATATTGATGCAGGGGACTATACTCATGGCAGTTCAGTTAGACAAAATGAGTAACAAAAGGCTTTCATGCATTTAGAAGCTATATCCAGTACATTTCCATCATGTTTCACACTCAAAATGATGCTTTAGAAAAGACGTTCAATTTTCTTAAGTTATCTTCTGTCCAATGTCAAAATTTTACAAGGAAGATGCTATAATAAACCCTCCTGTGTGTAAGCAATCTTGGTAAAGGACTCCTCATTGGCAGTAGATTAGAAAACTTGTTGAACTGGATTCTGATTCAGAATTAGAGGAGGGGCTGGAATTCACAACTGATTTGTTAAAACCAGGTGTCCCAGAGATATAAGCCAGAGAATTGCTCAGAATCAGACAGTTTAAAGTTCTGTGGAAAAGTCTATTAAACTTGCTGATACGACATCATTAGTCAGATAATTTAAGAGGGCAGATGAACTGAGCAGTCAGGGTAATTAGCCCACATGCAAAATGATCCACCTCAGATGTGGGGTTTGCTTGTTTGTTTGGAAGGGAAGAGGCATGTTCAGTTTGGAATCAACTTTGTTAAGCCACATTTCTCCCTAATTTTGCTTGTTTCTTTTGTTATTTGCTTCTGTGATGATTCATCTTTTATATCATAAAGTCATCCTCGGAGGTCAGTTTTAACATAATACTTTGTCCTGATCTGCTTGGATGGAGCAGGGAAGACCACCATGACAGAAAGCATCAAAACACCTTGTGGTAGTAAATACTGTAGTTAATTCTGTTGTGTGAAAAAGCATGATCTGAGCACACAGAGAGAGTGTTTTTTCAGCCTGTCTTTCCTCAGGGACAGGGATAAAGGATAATTAGGGATAAAGGTTCTACAGTAGTTTAATTAGGAGGAAGTGCAGAGCCACTATATCAACCAGATTTGTGGAATCCTGGTCATATGATAAACTGTTTTTTTGTTTTTTTTTTCTTTTTGAAAAATATGGGGGTTGCTATTTGAGGGAAAACATATCTCGAATCCCCTTGGCTTCATGAAACTAGTTTTATTGTTCTCTGGATTCTATCTTTATTTAGATTTTTTTTGTATAAATTGTATAATCTAAAAAGGAAGTAAATAATGCTAGAAATTTATATTGTTAATTTATATAGTTTTATTGTATTCTATTTATTTATGGTTTGTGAGCCGCCCCGAGGCTTTGGCAAATGGGGCGGCATAGAAGTCCCCTAAATAAACAAACAAACAAACAAACAAATATAAATTTTCTGCCTGAAGAAGAGTCATAAAGCCCAAATACATGAACATTTCCATCACCAAATAGTATTGTGTGCTTGTGAATACTTTGAAACCTGAAAGAGAACTTGAGTTCTTAAAGGGGGTTAAAATCAGCCTTAAAAAAATACCATGAAACGATGCATGTACGAGGTAAGTTCCATGCAACTCTGGCAGGGACATGATGGGAGTTGTAGAATTTCTGTCTGCTTACATAGCCATATAGAAACACAGTGTGGTGTTGCGGCTAGGCAGCTGGACTTTAGACTCAGCAGATATAGGTTCAAATCCTTATTTGCCGCAGACTTCACTTGATGTTCCTGAGCTAATCATTTTCACCCTATTCTACCTCACAAGTTGTAGTGAGATATAAAGAAGGGGACTATGTATACTAATAGGAGCTTCTTGGAAGAAGAAAGGCTAAAAATATTTTTAATGGTTAAGTTACATTAATGTGCAATGGTTTTACGCTGAAGAATTAATTATAAGGTGTGTTGTATACAAAAGCTACGAATGTTGCCTGTTCTTGATGAATTTTATCTTTTTACACCCATTCCTGCTTCTTGATTTAGTTTTGCCTACCAACACACCCAATGTTCGACGGACCAAAAGAAGGCGTGTTAAGCCATTGGAGTACTGGCGAGGAGAACGTGTGCAGTATAAGCCAAGCCATTCAGGTGCTAATTTCTCTATATGATATGCCTTGAGTTACATATGACAAATGGAGCCATTAATGTTGCTATTAAATTAACATGTATAATAATGCCAAAATTCAGTGCCCATTTAAAACTATTTTTTTCTGCTGTAACCCACCCAGAGAGTCTTATGCCTATTGGGTGGGTTAGAAATTTAATAAATACCGTATTTTTCGCTCTATAAGACGCACCTGACCATAAGACGCACCTAGTTTTTAGAGAAGGGATGCATGGAAAGCTTCCTGATAATCACAGGCACATTCCCCATCACTTCCCCATGGGCTTCATTAAAAGAGGGGTTGCCATTTGAAAACACACACCGACCTGTGATTAACAGCTCTCACCTGCGCCGGAGGAGGGGGGCGGAGCAGGGCATGCCAAGCGCATGCCGGCCAGGTGTGGTGCAGCTGGGCCAGCAGTGTGCCGGCGGTGGTCTTCCAGGCGGTGTGGCAGGTCTTCCCGGGCGGTGGGGGTGAGCAGTCCGTCTCTCCTTGTGGCCAGCGGGTTAAAGCCCATGGCTCCTCCTCCTCCGCACCGCTCACCCTGAGTGGCACAGCTCTCACCTGCGCCGTGGGGGGTGGGGGGTGGAGCAGCACGCCGAGCGCATGCCGGCCAGGTGGTGGCACATGGTGCAGGCGGGCCGGCAGTGTCCCGGGCGTCGGGCACACACACATTTGCTCTATAAGACGCACAGACATTTCCCCTTACTTTAGAGGGGAAAAAAGTGCATCTTATAGAGCGAAAAATACGGTAAATGATATTTCTCCAAATATAGTGGGATTGTACTATAACTTTGGACCTAATTCCTTCTAAATGTTCTGTTTGTGATTTCTAGTCAGATAACATCAAACTGGAACATAATATCAAAATGGAATTCAAGCACTTTGTGTGTTCTATATCAGTTGTTTACAACCTTTTAAACTTTGGTCCCTTATAAAGTTGCTGTACTGAGTTTCCAAACCCACTGGGAAAAAGGAGAAGAGTGATAGTTGTGAGAGATTCTGTGTTGTGCGAGATGGAAAAATATGTATGTTGTGATGACCCAAAGAATCACCACGTATCCTGTCTCCCTTGTGCCAAGATTAAAGATATAACCAATAAGTTTACACATCTCATGCAACCCACTGACAAATATACCTTCCATTTCATCCACATGGGAACTAATGACACTGTGAGGAGAAGTTTTGATGAAATAATATCAGACTTGGAAGCACTAGGAAGAAAAATAAAAAACTCTGGGACCCAGATAGTCTTCTCCCCAATCCTACCCATACATGGAAGAAAAACTGACAGGGAAAGAAAAATCCTTCAAGTGAATGACAGGCTACAAGGGTGGTGCTATAAAAAAGGATATGGATTCTGGGACCACAAGATAATTTTCCTGGAAGACGGACTCTTGGCAAATGATGGACTGCACCTGACAAAAACAGAAAGCATGTGTTTGGCCACTACATGGAAAGGTTAATCAGAAACAGAATCATAGTGGGGAGGGAGACATGTAGCATGGCATACTATCACCTGGCAAAGATTTAAGTATTTCAGCAGAGAAACAACCTCAAGCCTGACCTAATACCAGTCTCTCAATAAAGTAGAAAACAAGAAGAAAACCAGAGCACCACAAAAATGAACTTGGATGGCTATATGCTAATGCCTGGTACATGGGAAACAACATGACCTTAAGTTCATAGTACTCAAGGGCAATTACAATGTTATATGAATATTGACAACTCAAATGATTGGAACACTACCATTGATGGATACAACTTGTTCAAGAAAAATAAAAATGACAAAAAGGGAGGTGGAGTCACACTATACATAACAGACATGTGTATCTGCACAGAAATACAAGAGGAGGAACTTAGTAGCCCCACAGAAAGCATCTGACTTAATTTAAAGGTAGCAAAACATAAGAAATTCTTAGCTATTGGTGTCTATTACCATCCACCCAGTCAAAAAGAGGACAAGGATGTTACCTTCGAAAAGCAACCTGCCAACATTTCCAAGAAGAATGATATAGTCATCATGGGGGACCTCAGTTTCCCTGATACATGCTGGGAGACAATTTCTGCCAAACATGGCCCCTCCAAGAGGTTCTTGACATGTGTTGCTGACAACTTTCTCCAGCAGAAGGTAGAAGATGGAACGAGAGGAACAGCTTTTCTCAATTTAATACTAACATGGATGACCTAATAGCAGGCATGCGAACTCTGGGGGAAAGTGACCCTGTGATACTTGAATTCTCAAGTATGAAGGACACAAAAATTAACTGCAGCCAAACTCGAACTTTGGACTTTAAAAAAGCCAATTTTAGCAAACTCAGAACAATGAGGTGCCATGGCAACTCAAGTGAAAAAGAGTCCAAAAGGAGTGGGAAATCTTGAAAAAGGAGACTCTCCAAACAACTATGAACCTTCCAACAAGAAAATGTATAGAAGACAAGAGAGGAAGCCCACATGGCTGTATGAAAAGCTAAGTGACAGCCTGAAGGAAAGAACATGTACAGGAAGTGGAAGCGGGGCCAGACCACAAAGGAAGAATATAAACAAACAGTAAGGAATTACAGGAATAGTATCAGGAAGGCTAAACCATGAAATGAACTAATAATAGCAAGGGATGCTAAGAACAAGAAGAAAGCCTTCAGATAAATCCAAAACAAAAGACATAAAAGAGAAAGGTACCCAACTACTTAAAGTGGATGGCATAGTGATAACAGACGACAAGGAAAGGCAGAAATGCTCAATTCCTACTTCACCTCAGTCTTTTCCCACAAGAAAATCTACAACCAAGAGGAAATACAAGCTGAAAGTGAGAGATAGCAGCCCAAGACTGTCAGGTCAAGGAATATCTAGATCAGGGGTCCTCAAACTTTTTAAACAGGGAGCCAGTTCACTGTGCCTCCGACTGTTGGGGGGGGGGGCAGACTATAGTTTGAAAAAAATATGAATGAATTCCTATGCACACTGCACATTAAAATTAATTAAAACTAAAATTAATTTAAAAATTAATTAAAATGTTAAAAATAATTTAAAAATTAAAAAATGTTTGCTCTTCTTGCTTGGGCTGCAGCAGAAGCCCAAGATGAGGTGGAGAAGAGCATGTCCATATTCAAGGGACATAGGTACAATGTCTGTGATCATGCTGGGGGGGTGGGAAGACAGGTGTGATCATGCTGTGGGGGGAGATGGGCTTGATTGTGCTCGTGCAAGGAAGATGGGAGCTATCGCAGTCATGCTTGTGCAGGGAAGGTGGGCGTGGCCATCTCCGCCCCCCCTGAGCACGAGCACAGCTATCTCCCCACCCCCACCCAAGCACGACCATGATCGCGCCCGTCTCCCTACTGAGTGTGCCTGCGCCAGCTCAGAACTTTTGGACTCGCTCGGAGATCGTTTTGTCCAAACGAGTCCAAAAGCTTTGAGGCGGGCTGGATAAATGAGCATGGTGGGCTGTAGTTTGAGGACCCATGATCTAGATGGAATAAACACATTCAACTCTCCAGGGCCCAATGAACTCCATCCCAAAGTCATAAAAGAGCTAGTGGAAGAATTCTTGGAACCACTATTATCTTTGAGAAACCTTGGAAAACAGGAGAAGTGACTAGAGAAGAGCTAATGTTTTCCCCATCTACAACATGGTGAAAAATGCTGAACTTGGGACCTACAGACATGTTAGTCTGATATCAATCCATGGAAAAGTTCTGGAGCATATTATTAAAAATCAGTCTGCAGGCAGTTTAAAAAATGCAATATAAAAGCTAACATGGATTTATCAAAAATAAATCCTGTCAGACTAATTTAATCTCATATTTTGATTGGATTACCTCCCAGATGGACAGAGGGAATACCAGACATAATCTGACCTGACTTTAGCATAGCTTTTAACATAGTGCCCCACAACATCCTGTTCAGCAAATTAACAAAAACTGGACTAGATGGAAAAACTATTAGATGGATTCAAAATTGTCTGCTAAATCAGGCACAAAGAGTGCTCATCAATGGCACCTTCTCAAACTGGAGGGAGGTAACTAGTGGGGTGCCGTAAGGTTCCAGTGCGCTTCCAACATCTATATTAATGATCTAGATGAGAAAGTACAAGCAACAATAATCATTTTACAAATGATAGAAAACTGGGTGGAATAGATAGTAACCTAGAAGATAATAAAGATCCAGGGCGATATTGATAAACTTGAATGCTGGGCTCAAAGCAATAGGATGGCATTCAATAAGGACAAATGTCAACTCTTTCAGCTAGGAAGAAGAAAGTAAAAGCATCCATACAAGATGGGGAATATGTGGCTTAAGAGAACTGGAAAAAAAGATCTCAGAGTAATTGTGGAAAATAGGTTAAATATGAGCCAGCAATGCAATGCCACTGCCAAAAGGGCAAAGCTGTTTAGGGATGCATTAACAACAGTATTACTTCTGAATCACGAGAAGTAGTAGTTCCTCTATACACCTCACTAGTCAGAACTCATCTGGAATACTGTGTCCACCTCTGGACACTAAGATTTAAGAAAGATGCAGAAAAATTAGAAAGGGTCCAGCAGAGAGCAACAAAAATGATCCAGGGTTTGACAAAAATGCTGCATGAAGAGAGACTAAGAGAACGGAACATGTTCAGCCTTGAGAAGAATAGACTGAGTGGGGACATGACATCCCTCTATAAGTACCTCAAAGGCTGTCACAAAGAGGAAGGTCAAGATCTCTTCTCGCTGATGCCAGAGTGTAGGACATGGAATAATCCACTGAAGTTGTGACAACTCAGATTCAGGCTAGATATCAGGAAAAGTTTCCTCATTATCAGAGCAATACAATAGTGGAACTAGTTGCTTAGAGAGTTCATGCGCTCTCCTATACTAGAGAGGTTAAAAAAGAAACTGGATAGTCATCTGAGATGGTGTAAATGGATGTCCTGATGCAACAGTGGGTTAGACAAAATGTTCTTGACCCCGTCTAACTCTACTGTTCTATGATCCTATGATCTCTTAGGTGGGTATGCACAGAATATTTGAAAAGAACATAGTGTTTTGGCTATTAGTTTATTATTGACGGTATAAGGAGGTCTGCTTTGATACTGCCAGTTAGCAAGGCAGGAGGGCACCGCCATGTATTTGAAAAGAGGTGGTAAGAGGGATTAGATGTAAGAGGAACCTCTGTAGGAAATGGGCACTGGGGCAAGCAGACAAAAGTGAATACCAGGAGGAGGAGGCTCATTGCAGAACAAGTCTTCTCAAGGCTAAGGCTGATTATGAACTGAGACTTGCAGAATATCAGGAGCAAAAAAAAAAAATTGCTTGTATCAACATGTACATAGCAAGAGGAAGGGGAGACAGGCAGTGGAACCACTTAATAAGGAAGAACGGGATTTGATGACTGATGTGAGGGAACATGCAGATGCTAAATTATTATTTTCCTTATTTCTTCTCCCCAAATCAGGTTTGGGGAGATCTACATGGAGGACTGGATGAATGTGGGTATTTAGGGGCACAGGTTAGAGTCAGCCCCCTTGAAGTCAAGGAGCTCCTTAGGGCACTGGACATTACAAAGGCACCAGGCCCTGATGGGTTACACTCAAGAGTATTTTGGGAGTTGGCGGGGGTACTCTTGCACTCGTTGGCCTCCTTTTTTTAGGCCTTTCAAAAAGGGTAGCAGGGGGGTTATGGGGAATTACAGGCCAGTTAGTCTTAAGTCCATTCTAGGGAGACAATGGAAAGGGTCATAATCAAGAAAGATCTAGTAACACTAGATAGGGAAGGGAGGGAGGGAAGGGAACTGAGGAGTTTTGGGATAGACTGATGCACTGTCTGATGGAGTAGGGCACAGTTGATGGACCAAAAGCAGAGAGTAACTATCTGTGGGAAATCATCAGGATGGTGGCCAGTGACAAGCGGGGAATTCCAGTTCTATGTCCTAGGACTGATCCTCTTCAATCTATTCATCAATGTCCTGGAAGGGGGGGTGGCCAGTCAGCTGATCAGGTTTGCAGACAATACTAAAATGGGGGTGGTGGCCACAACTGAAGAGCAGGTACTCTGTATCCAGAAGGATCTGGACAGACTATGGAAGTGGGTGGGGAGCAACAGGATGGTGTTCAATGCAGGTAAGTGCAAGGTCTTGCACTTGGAACATAGGAATGGATGTCATAAGTACAAGTTAGGGGACAAGTGGCTGGAGAGCAGCACTTGTGAAAGGGATCTAGGGGTACTGGCTGACTGCAGTCTAAACATGGGTCAGCAGTGTGATGCAGCAGTCAAGAAGGCAAACACCACCCTTGAATGCATAGCCAGAAGCATGGCTTCTAAATTGAGAGAGGTATTACTGCCACTCTATACTACTCTGGTGCACCCACAACAAATGGGGGTATATAATTCCCCATACCCTCCTCAGTTCTGGGTTCCACATTACAGCAAGGATATCGGCAGGTTGGAATTAGTCCTGTGTAGGGCCACAAAGATGGGGGCAGGATTGCAAGGGAAGCCATATGAGGCGAGACTGAGGGAACTGGGTCTTTTCAGCCTTGAGAAGAGGAGACTCCAAGAGGATCTGTTGGTGACATATAGGTACATGAGGGCATGTCATGCAGAAGTGGGTTGGGACCTGTTTTCTGGGAAATAGGAAGGGGAGACAAGTGGTGGGACCACTAAATAAGGAGGAAGGAGATCCAGTGACTGATATGAGAGAACAGGCACAGATGCTAAATAAGTATTTTGCCTCTGTGTTCTCTCCAAGGCAGGATGGGGGAGATCCGCATAGGAGATTAGATGAGGCTGGGGACTTAGGGACACAGATTAGTTACCCCCCTTCAAGTTGAGGGGCTCCTCAGGGCATTGGACATTACAAAGGCACCAGGTCCTGACAGGTTACACCCAAGAATACTTAGAGAGTTGGCAGGGGTTCTCTCATGCCTGCTGGCCTCCATTTTTGAGGCCTCGTGGAGAACGGGTGACGTTCCAGAGGACTGGAGGGTGGCATCAGTGGTCCCAATTTTCAAAAGGGATAGTAGAAGGGACATGGGGACTTACAGACCTGTTAGCCTTACGTCCATTGTAGGAAAAACAATGGAAAGGTTCATAACACAGAGAGATCTAGTGATGCTAGATAGGGAAGGGAGGCTGACAGCCACACAACATGGCTTCTGCAAAAACAGGTCCTGCCAGACAAACCTTGTGGAATTCTATGACAAGGTTTTGAGATGGCTAGATGGAGGGGATGCAGTGGATGTGGTATACCTGGATTTCAGCAAGGCCTTTGACAAAGTGCCCCATGATATCCTGGTGGAGAAACTGAGGAGTTTTGGGATGCACCAAAGCATTGTCCGATGGATTAGGGCATGGTTGACTGACCGAAAGCAGAGGGTAACCATTAGCGGGGAATCATCGGGATGGTGTCCAGTGACAAGCGGGGTCCCCCATTGCCCTGTCCTGGAGCCGATCCTGTTTAATCTTTTCATTAATGACATGGAAGAAGGGGTGAACAGTCTGCTGATCAAATTCATAGACGACACTAAAACTGGAGCAGTGGCCACAACTGAGGAGCAGGTACTCCAGATCCAAAAGGATCTGGACATACTATGGAAGTGGGCAGGAGACAACAGGGTGGCGTTCAATGTGGATAATTGCAAGGTCTTGCACTTGGGGCATAGGAATAGGTGTCATAAGTACAGGTTAGGGGACAAGTGGCTGGAGAGTGGCACTTGTGAAAGGGACCTCAGGGGGCTGGTTGACTGCAGGCTAAACATGAGTCAGCAGTGTGATGTGGTGGTCAAGAGGACGAACGCCAGCCTTGGTTGCATAGCCAGAAGTGTGGCTTCTAGATCGAGAGAGGTATTACTACCACTCTAAACATTTCTGGTGCGCCCGCAGCTGGAGTATTGTGCTCAATTTTGGGCCCCTCATTACAGAAAGGATATAGCCAGGTTAGAGTCAATGTAGCGTAGGGCCACAAGGTTGGTGGCCGGTTTGCAGGGGATGCCGTATGAGGCGAGACTGAGAGAACTGGGTCTCTTCAGCCTGGAGAAGTGGAGACTCAGAGGGAATATGTTGGCAACATACATGTACGTGAGGGGATGTCACATGGAGATGGGTAGAGACCTGTTCTCCCCTGCAGAGGAAGACAGGACGTGCTCCAACGGTGCAAAGCTCAGGGAACCAAGGTTCCATTTGGATGCCAGGAAGCACTTCCTGACAGTTAGGACCCCAAGGGTGTGGAATGGGCTTCCAAGGAAAGTGTTTGAAGCTCAATCAGTGAGGGGGTTCAAGGATAGGCTAGACATGCACACCGCAGACATGTCATGAGCGGAGCTGGGGGTCAAACTAGATAGCCCAGGTGGCCCCTTCTGACTTGCTTTGTTTCTATGCCTGGAAAAGAATTCCTGTTTCCATTCCAAAGCCAGTTCACCAAGGAAGGGCAAGCATAGAAGCTGCTGTGACTGTCTCTGCACCATCCATTGTTAGCATGACGTCTTTCGTTGGTGCAACGCTAAATTTCTGCTGCTGTTTTTTCCGTTACAAGATCTTCTTCCTCTCTCCTTTTCTGGCATTTCACACCCTCCACCCTACCCACCCATGCTGCCCTTAGAAAGCCCAAACCTATGCTTTGAGCAATGGTGGTATATACAGCGAGTTTCAGATTTTGGGTGGTATAGAAATTAAGTACATACATACACGTTGTTGAGCACTAATGTTACATATAAAGTTCTTTCGTATCCTGCTTCAGCTTGGCTGAAAATCCTGGATTACGTTAACTATGTTTAATCTGGATAGCAATATAAAATTTAATTGTTATTAATGTTCCCAAAGGAATAATAATATATTAGACGGAAGAGAAGAGCTGCTAAGAAAGAGTGGTAATGTTGCTTAGTGTCCTTGATCTTTAACCAAGCTTGAGAGATCAGGAATATTATGTTCCCTGCACTGATATTTCTTATATCTACTTGTTTTATTTAATCAGGGTGAGGTTTTAATTTCTTTTAAAAACTTATTAATGAAAGTTTTGATTTTTAGGATGTAGCATTTGCTAGTCAGCAATGGCTAGATGTAAAAAGGCTTCCAGTGCATTGTAGCAGTTGGGTGATGGGGGATCAGATGTCCTTACTTGGAGAACAGGAGACATGGGGGCTAGCAGCACACATAATACAAGTAAGAGATAGCATGGCCTTTGCTTGGTACTAGTATAAGTCATTCAGCGGCCACATGCTTTCATGAAGTTTAGCACCCTACCCTCCCTGTGCTCTGTCACCAATTTGCAGGAATCTCCTCTCCTTGGATTGCCTTTCAATGATAGAAGGGTTTTTATCTCCAGAAAACCAGATTACAGGCTATCCTTTCTGCCCAATAATGGCTTCTGCATTTGAGAGGTGTTATCATGAAATAAACATTGTGCTAAGTAAAGGTACTCTAGGGCATACTACATATTAAAACAGGATGGGCAATGGATGGGCTACATGTAGTTCCCCAGTGCAGTCCCCTTTGGACCCACAATTGTTCCCTCCTATCTCTCCTCCCCACAGAGGAAAACACATGTTTTAAAAATTATGGTTTCAGCAGCAAAACTACAGTAGTGACAAAATTGGTGTGTTGTAATAGCAACCATACCTTTTTCTTTATTTTCCTCCTGCCCCACACTGAATGTGGTAGGTCAGTGGAGGACAGAGATAGGTTCCTAAACGACCAAATTTGTCCATCTCTGATATGAGACATCTTAAAGGGAGATGGTTTTCATCAATATCAGTCTGCCTTGTTCACGCCATTATGCCAGTTGTTGCATATCACGTTGCCTTGATTCACAAAAGCATTGGTTTAATTTTATTATGCAGCCACAGACCCATTCAAAACAAAAATATAAAGTTGTTATTACCCAGAAATAATCCTTTATATTTTCTCTTGTTTCAGGAGGCTTTGTAGTTGGTGGAATATTATCACCTGTACAGAACAGAAGCCATAAAATTAGGAAGGCAATAAAACCAGTTGTGGATTTCGGTATGGCATTTGCTACATTGTTTGTATGTGTGTGTGCTTGTGTGACTTGCAGAAGACTACAGTACACTTCATTGAGTATTGAAAATTCAAATGCTTCTTTTAACAATAACAACTATACAGAAAGGGTATGTTCAGATTGGGAAAGAGAGAATTCCTGACATTGTTGCTTTTCTTTCTTTCCCTAAAGAAAAGCTTGCAGAATAAATACATTACCCAGCAGGTACTAATTGATATGCTTCATGAAAATATAATTTTCAATTTTGCAGAAAAAATGAACTGTTAGACTTCTTATCTAATGTTAGTGAACATAACTTAAAGCAAGCTATGTACAGACTTTGAGCTTCTTTGGGCTCAGAGTCTGCACACAAGGGGATTGACTCTATTTTGAACTTGTCTGGCTCAGTGCAAGACTCTAATTCTTACTTGTTTTTAGGAATTCACAAATGTGCTCTCTAGTGGCAGGCATATTTCTTACTCTGGTATCTGCCTCAGACCAAAGTGAGTTCATCCTAATCTTTTGCTGTCCTTTGGAAAAAGGAGACAGTTTTATTGCATCAAGTACCTGCTAAGCTCACCATAATGACAGGGAACCATGGATCTCTCCTGAGGTCATGTTGAGCTGTGCATCTCTGAAGATCAAACAAATGTCAAAATGCCATTGGGAAGCATATTTTGGTTGGCTAGTCAATATTTATTTATTTATTTATTTATTTATTTATTTATTTATTTAAAACATTTCTATGCCGCCCCCATCGCAACAAAGCCTCGGGGCGGCTCACAACAAAAACTAAAACAAACAAAATCATATAAAAATTTATACACTAAAAATATTAAAACCCGGTGCATCTCGGCTTAAAAATGTTTAAAAATCTTCCATAATAAATTAACACTTAAAATAAGTTTTAAATAAAAAGGTCTTAGCCTGGCTCCGAAAAACAAATAACGACGGCGCCAGGCAGACCTCTCTGGGGAGCGCATTCCATAGGTGGGGCCTTTGGTAGATCCTTTTCAATCTAAATTGAAAATTTGTGGACCCTTTTCAATCCAAAGTTCGTTCATTCCTAACTCAGAATTCAGAAATAGGTTGAGCTTCCAACAGGAAAAATCTTGCTTACTGCTGCCCAGTTCCATTGAGTTAGACTTGTTATCTGCATAGAGTCCTTCTGTATCCTTAAAATGGTGCCTTGCAATTAATTGACCTTATTCCAGGTACTATCCCATCCTTAAATATAGAGGTGCTCATAAGGCTGGCCTCAAAACATGGAGGATTACTACTAATTCCTGGAAACTTTAATAGGATAGAACAAAGCAAAGAGCAATCCACATGTGCAATCTGCAGTAGCTTGTAGTACAACTAATACTGTAAAATCCTTCATAGAATTACACATGTTTGTACTGCATATAAACATATCAATGTAATAATTATTTATATTTCAGATAAAATTATTAACATGATTAAGAGTGCTGGACTGAGACTCAGGAGATCAGGGTTCTAGTCAGCCATGAAATCTATTGGGACCAGTCACTGCACCTTGACCTAACTTACCTCATAGGGTTGTTGTCTGAATAAAATGCAAAGGAGGAGAAATTTGTAAGCTTTCTTGGATGTCTTGCAAAGGGAAGAAAGGTGGGATATAAATGCAGTGTAATAATAATCATCTCTGTATTCCTCTGCTGTACCATGAGTGAAAGATCCACAGTAATGTTAATGAGATTGAATGCAGCTGTATATACCGCAACATTCTACCTTTATGAAGAAGGATGACTATTCCTATAGAAATTTAAGATGCTTCCAGTGTACTTGTCTATAATTTCACTGCAACCTGTGGTGAGAATCCGCCTTGACTACCATGTGAAGTTGCATAGTCCCACAAATTTGAGCACTTCCCCATGTTAAAATACTCCATTCTTATAGAACACTAGCCACATCAAGGTTCCATAATGATCAGTCCATCTGAGCCTTTCAGGAGAATTGCCCTACTTGCAAAGTTCTTTGTTGTGGTCTCTGTGTAATCACATCTATGGACTTGCTGCAGAGCACAAGACCTCATTTGGAGTAAGCTTCCAAAGCTTGGCACCATGGAGTGGGCGGAAGCCTGGCCTGCACCCTGCACAGGCAGCATAAGGAGGGGAGGGGCTCCTGCCCAGTCCTTCAGTTCCTTTTCAACCGCACTTCAAGTCAGCTCAGATCAGACTTTCCACTTGTTCCACTCACCTGATTCGCCATCTTCTTTTTTTCTTTCTCTCTTCTTCTCTGCATGTTTTCCTCCTCTTGTTTTTTCTTTTTCTCTCTGCCATGTACATTCCCTTTTGAACCACGTGGCCAACTCCGCTCTATGCTGCTGTGCCTCCTGCACGGCCCGAATGCCCACCAACGATGGGCATTCCAAGTGCCTCCTCTGCTTCGACGAGGAGCACATTGTAGAGACCTGCCCACACCACCAGGCCTTTAAAAAATAGACGTGGCGGCAGAGGGCCATGCGCCTCCAACAGGCCTTGTGGTAGAGGGCCTGTATCACCATTACAGCCTCTGAGGCCGACAACCCCCCTACCAAAGGCACTTCCAAGCCCTGCAGGGCTAGGAAGAGAGCAGCCTTGCTGGGTGAGGGCCCCTCTGGTGTCACAGCCCTTGCAAGTAGAAAGAAGCGCTGCATCACAAAGGACCCTGCCTCCCTGACACCAGAGGCCACCCAGGACCGCCTGCGGATCCTGGACTCTGGGGCATCCCTGAATGTGACGCCTGTGGTCCCAGTTCTGGATTCCCCAGATCCGCGCTCCTCGGCAGCACCTTCCATACCCGAGATGCTGCCAGCACAAAGTCTGGCCGCCATTCCAGCTGTGGAGACTGCTATCCATGCATCCACCCACTCAGGGGACTGCCAATTGCTCCCAGTGCCTGCAGGTGATGCTGTGGAGGCCACAGGCACACCACACCCCCCCCACCAAAGTTGGAGGACTTGTCATGCTTTGCAGCCTCCTCGCACTCCAGCTCGTCCCCTCGATCCCTGTGCATGAGGAGGCCCTGCGTGGCCGAATTTGACTCTGGGTCCTCAGAGGCCCATGCTCCCTGGGCCCGACTGAGGCTCCTGGTCTCCAAACGTGCAGGCCACTGGGACTTCCCCAGCAGGGAATCTAGCCACACCACCAGGCCCAGGGACCAGCCCCACACTCACCAACGCTGCTGGCCCAGTGAGGACTCATCGGCTAGAAATACGGCCTACACTAGACCTGCCTGCCAGCGCCGCTGCTCCAGCAGTCCTGCTGCAGCTCACGAATGCTCACCTGCTTCACACCAGGATCATCAATGCAGGAGCAGCCTCCATCAGCGTTTGCCTTTACAGGATTCAAGTCAGAGTCGACCCCCGGCTTTGTGACATTCTCCCTCCCCCACAGCCTCCATCCACTCTCCAGATGGCCAGGCCCTAGACCAGGACCTTTCCTTTTCTCCTTCTAAGGGAGGTGACCTGACCTGGTCCTCCACATGGCTGAGGATCTCAGCTTCCAAACCTCCCACCCACCGGAGCCCAAGGCCAAACCATGCTACGATGCCCTAGCCTCAGGGGAGACCACCCCGTGTCCATCCCTGCCTTGCCTGTGCAACTCTGCACAGTGCAGCAGTCCTGGAAAGCCTCTGCAGGGCCCCTGGCCACCTCATGCAAGGTTGAGTCCACCTACAGGGTAACCATCAAGGCCTTCTTTCTGCTTCTCAGACACCCCAGGCCTAACTCCATTATAGTGGAGTCCATGCAGGGCACACCCCAGAAGGATCAGTCCACTCCTGTGGACAAGGAGGGACGCCGCTTAGATACCATGGTGAATGGGTTTAGGGTCTCTAGCTACAAATGGGTGCTGCACTTGGGTTTAGGGTCTCTAGCTATGAGCCAGGTACCAGCTCTTCCTGTGGGAAAAGATGGGCGCCATTGTACACACTGAGGCAGAGGACCTGCCCTTTGATGGTGAAGGCTTTAATTCACGTACAGATGGGAATGGACTCCCTCCATATAGCTCATACCACTGCCGAGCGCATAGTCTTTGGGCAGAGCTCAGTGCAAAGGAGATGGCAGGGAACTGCCATTGCCCCCCGTCGCGGCCCATTCCCTGACCGCTCCACGCGACCCAGAGTGCCACTTGCCAACAAGCGGTGGGACTCCCAACCCTGCCAGAGGCTACCGCTGAGGCAGCAGGATACTAGGCACAGGTGTTGACATTCTAGTCCAGGCAGCCACCTCCCTGACCTCCCCACCTGCTTCATAGACCATCAAGCACAATACCTCCTGGCCTTGGAGGCCATTACCTCTGATTCCTGGGTCCTATCCATCATTGAATGGGGTACAGGTTAGAATTTGATGTTCTGTCACTCCTTGGTCGCGTCAAGACCACTCCTCCATCTCCCGCCCTGGCCAGAAGGCCAGACTCTGCTGGATAAAAGGGCAATAGAGCATGTCCCCCCACCAGCCCACTGGGGCTTCTACTCTAGGTACTTCTCAGTACCCAAATGGGACAGGTCTCTCAGGCCTATCCTGGATCTCAGGGGGGTCAACAAGTTGATCTCCCCCAAGAAATTCAGAATGGTCACGCTCCAGGGCATCCTCCCCCTCCTTAACCAAGGAGACTGGTTTGTCTCTATTGACCTGATGGATGCCTATTTCCATATCTCTATCCACTCAGAACACAGGTACTTCCTGCATTTCCAAATTGACCAGGAGGCCTTCCAGTTTTCCGTTCTCCCTTTTTGCCTTGCCACGGCTCCCTGCGTATTCACCAAATGTGTGGCAGTCGTTTGTGCCCACCTCAGGCTCCAGGGTGTCCAGATCTTCCCATACCTGGATGGCTGGCTGCTTGTGGCCCCCTCCAGGGAGGACATGTTGCGCGGCCTAGCTACCACACACCTCCTCCTACAGGACTTTGGGCTCCTCATCAACCATGACAAATCTGTTCTTTTCCCTACACAGTCCATACTCTTCACAGGGACGCTACCCTCGCCAAAGCCTTCCTACCTC